GGATTTTTGATGCAGACACCTACTTTCTGCTGCCAATACTTGAGATCCCAGCTGGTGAATTAATTTCCAGAAAGTTGTTTTCATCCAAAATTTGGATATTTTATTTCAGCTTTGCTAATGACTAGGTAGTGTTCAATGCAGGTAGGCAGTAACATGCATTTTCCTTAAGCATCTTTAGGCTTACTGTTGCTGGGATTAATTTTTACATCCTTAAATTGTAAAGTGGAAGCTGCAAGTTTTAGTGTTGAGATGACAGATTGTGGGGTCTTTCAACTCATTGTTTTTAAAAGGAACTGGTTGGTAACTTTGTTTCTCAGTTGAATTTAAGTGCATGGCTTGGAGCTTTGTTTTGCTTATATCCTAGTAAATTTATCTAATACCATTCTCACAATGTTCACGTTTTCTTACCATTCCTGTTCATAGCTGCTTCACCTTGTGTGTTAGTCATGGGAAAAAAAAACGCTGTGTGCTGGGAAAATACACTACTCACAGGAGAAAACTGCTTCAGAAAGTTATTTGAGTGGTGTAGTAAAAAAAGTCTTCAGTCTTAAATAGATATCTAGAGAAATGTGGCAGATACAGGCTGCGCCTATTTATAGGTGGACTGTTTATATCGGAGGAGAATCATGGGTTTCATCAAACTCTCCAGAAAATAAATGTCTCGGTAGTTTTCATATACATGAGGTGTCATTTCTCTCAAGCAAATGCTATAACTTCGTGGTGTCAAACTACTCTGGTGTCTGAGTATGCACATAATAAAATAATTTAAAAAAACTGTATTCAGTGTCTGTATTCAACATGGGCTGTTACAGAGCTAAGCTATATTCTGTTCCCTCTCCAGAGTACTTTGACCTAGTCGAGCACAGCATCGCCTTTATACTCCAGAAAACCGCAGTATTGTGGTCAGACACTGAGGCCGGTGTAGTCGCTTGCCATCTCCATCCCTCCCACTGCCATCAGCCTTTTTCTCTGCTTTCAAGTTTTTTCCTAAATTTGGACTTTTGTGCTGTTACAGTAGAAAGAGAAAACAAATGTACATATTCCAGTCATGAGATGCAAAACTGGCTCCTTTGCACCAGTCTGAAGTTGCTGGCTACAGAGAGGCTTTCACAGAGGCGGATGCCAAAATATATGTGGTCTTACTGCTGTCTTCTGCTGTGTAAACCCTCCCATGTTACTGAGTTGCCCTTCCTCTGGTTATTCTATTACAGTGTGGTCAGAGACATTCAGAATAACTTCCACTTCATAAGCATCTTGAAAAATTGCCCATTTAATTTGATGTACAGTTTATTTTTTTCCCTCCAGTCTGCAGAACATTTATATTTTTAGCAGCATGTAAAGGACCTCGTTTGAATTCTGTGGCCCCGTCATAACCAAAAACCAGTGTCAGAAGTGGGGGAGTGAATTTGCCTTTGAGTTAAACTTTGCAGAATAAAGATGTGAGAAGGGGAAGATGCAGATGTATCAGATGACACTGTGAGACAGTTACTCAGACCTTGCTACTTTGAAAAATGAAGCTGCAAATAACATGTATTGAGCAAAATTCATGGGAACATTTGAAGTAAGAGTTGCAGCTTGGCAAAATAAGAGAGCAAAATACACTTTAATATTTCTGTCCTTGCTCTGTTTTGATTGTGGAGTCAGTAGCGGGGAAAGATACACTCATTCCTGCCTTGAATTTGAGGAGTTTGTTTTTTTCTGTTGTCTGTGTAGGTGAGTGTAAAGCAGTGAAATGCCTGTGCTGTTGGCTCATAACATGTCATGGAAGAGCTGCCCTGGTAGTCCTGATTATTGCGTGTGGTGTGAGGGAAAGATGGATCTCCTGGCTGTAGCCATCCGTGCCTGAAAGACATGGTGACACCGAGCAGGTTGCATTAAGGAGTAATGCGAGACAAACAATTGCTTCTGGAAGTCTGAAGGTGCACAGAAGTGGGCTGAGCCTTGGAGAGCACTGACGCTTTTGCTCATATCTCCTCCAGTTTTCTTTTTATTGCACTTTTTTCTTTTACACCTCAAGGAAAAGTCACATTCTTCAGATCATTCCAAGTGGGGCGGCTCATCTGGTGCCAAGCGCTGCTGCAGCCGGCTGCACAGTGGCTTGCCAAGATGCAGCTTCAGCCAGAAGTTCGGGTACTGTGTCCTATGGTAAGAACCCTTCAGGTTCCTCCTGAAGGGAGGTCAGCATGGCTCCTGGTGTCTGTTAGAGAGCTGCCATGGCAGCTTGGAGTAAACTTGTTCCTGAGCAGCTATTGCACAGTGTTTTATCGGTGGGTAGCAGCGCTCCTCTTCTCTGCAAGAAGGTGGTCACCAGAGCTTTCGGAAAGGACCAGAGCATGGCAATGCAGGATTTATTTTCCAGCTTTAGATGCAACACAAGAGTCAGCCTGATGGTTTTTATTTTCAACAGGCTTTTCAAAATTTTGTAATTCCTTGTGGGAAGCTTTCAAGTCTGTTCTGCTAGGGGGATCCCATATGCTCCAGGGACCTCCTTTCATGCCCTACAAGAAGCCTCTGGACTATGTTATTGAAGTTGTTTAGCTTTCAAATGTTCTGGGTAAATCGCTGGATCATGCATAATGTGACAGTGGGGAAAATGTTTTAAGGCTGTGGTGGCTCTCAATATTTTTTTCCCAACCCTACTGAATCTTTTCACAGCAGGCAAAACGGGCAAAACCTTCTCAGAGCAGGCAAAAAGCAGTCTGCCTCTGTAACAAGCCTGTTCTAAGAAGCTTTATACTCTTTATGTGTTAAAAAAAATTTCCAAACGCTAAGCCACTTGCAACTATGAACTAAAATTATTCTACCTTGCTGTTCTTGAAATGCATAGTATCCATCTGGGACCTGTGGCGAGTCAGCAGGACTCTGAAGGATTGGAGCTGTGTAGGTGATAACACAGAATGATTTTTGCTCTGCCTGAACCAAGTAGGGTTTATAATTCGTAACAAAAGTGTGGGAAAACTTTGAAACTATTTTAAAAAGCTTTAGGAAAAAAAAAAATTACAAAAGCAACCAAGCACTGGGGAAGGGGAGCAAGGAGAAGATACCAGGAAGATACCTGGACAAGCTGGAGAGGTGGGCCTGTGTGAACCTCATGAGGTTCAACAAGGCCAAGTGCAAGGTCCCACACCTGGGTCGGGGTAATCCCCAGTATCAATACAGGCTGGGGGATGAAAGGATCGAGAGGAGCTCTGCTGAGAGGGACTTGGGGGTACTGATAGACGAAAGGCTGGACATGAGCCGGCAATGTGCGCTGGCAGCCCAGAGGGCCAACCGTGTCCTGGGCTGCATCAAGAGAAGCGTGGCCAGCAGGTCGAGAGAGGTGATTCTGCCCCTCTGCTCTGCTCTGGTGAGACCCCACCCGGAGTACTGCGTTCAGCTCTGGAGCCATCAGCACAAGAAGGACATGGAACTGTTGGAGCGGGTCCAAAGGAGGGCTACAAAAATGATCCGAGGGCTGGAGCACCTCTCCTATGAGGACAGGCTGAGAGAGTTAGGCTTGTTCAGCCTGGAGAAGAGAAGGCTGTGGGGAGAGTGAAACACTGGAACAGGTTGCCCAGAGAGGTAGTGGAGGCCCCATCCCTGGAAACACTCAAGACCAGGTTGGACGGGGCTCTGAGCAACCTGATCTAGTTAGCGGTGTCCCTGCTCGCTGCGGGGGCAGGGGGGGTTGGACTAGATGACCTCTAGGGGTCCCTTCCGACCCAAAACTTTCTGTGGTTCTGTGATTCTAAGATGTATAGCTCTGGGGCTGACTGAAGTTTGTCCATTTACATTACTTGAGAATGTGGTCAGTGGGCTGGAGATGAGGCCACCCTGCTGGCTGCCTGTCCCTCCTGTATCCTTCGTGCCCGGGGACTGCTGCAACCAGGATTGCACTGCAGCCGCTTCGCTCCCGTAGCCCAAAGGATTGGGTGACCTGGCTGGTGGTAGCCTGGCTTTAGAGGTGGTGCTGTAGCCATTGGGTGCTCTGAGGTGGGCTGGTTGTGGCTCTGTAGAGTTCCAGAGAAGGAGGACTTGGTAGACGTTCCCTCTGCCCTCTTCCCTGCAGCCACCCCTGGGGACTGTGGTTCCCTGGGGATTTTGTCTGCCTGTGTTTTCTTCTCGGTGTGTTAGATCAACGCTTTCCTTTGGTGAACAGTAAGAAACTAGTGATGGCTTGACAGGGAGGGTGCTTCTTTGAGCTTGTACAAGACAACACTGAAGTCGCATTTGACATGGGAAATTACCGTGCTCGTAGGTATGTGTATGGGACAAAGCAGACCAGTGGGCACAGACCTCAGGGAGCTAGACTGCGTCTTGTTTAGATGAAGACTGGTCCATCTCAAAGTAGATGGGAAATCTGCAGGCATCTTGCTGCTGTGTTGTTTTTCTTTAGGGGGTGTATATCGAAGGTAGTTATCTAGAGGCCAGTTTACTTCTTGTGTGCACACTTCAGTAGGCAAAAACTTCTCCTTTTAGTTTCTCGTTTGATGTTAAATCTGCCTTAGGATGTCGCTACAGAGCGTCTCAGGCTTCACATCCATAGCTGAAGGCAAGAGCTTGGTGGTTTGCTGTCATCCACACGAACGCTATGCTGTGCAGTGCCCGGCTGGCACGTGACCTGTGCAATGCAAGGGCTCGTCAGCTGGTTTGCATGTCTTGATTTAAAAGCACGAAGTCTTTTGTTATGGGTATGTGTGTGCCTAAGAGCAAAGGCACGGCGTCTTGTCTTCTGTCCGGCAAGACTCCCCTTTGCTCAAATTCAGTTGTGTCTCCGTGCAGAGAGTGGGGAGCTGGTAGTCCTGCTGCATGCAGGCAAGCTCTGTACACGCTTTGTACGGGAGCTTTTCAACCTCAGCCTAATTTTAGCTATGGGATATGGCTGGGAGCTGAAGTTGTCAGCAAAGGTTTTTTCTATTAGCACTTTCATTAAAGATTTCCCATGCTGTGTACACATTTACTTACCTCCTTCCCCTCCTCCTTTTTTTTCTTTTTTTTTTTCTTGCGTTACAGCTTCTGACATGAAGAAAGATATAGAGACTTTAATAACCCAGGAAAAAGCGGAGATCGTTGCCAAATATGAGAAGGTACCAACCTCGTGTTTCTCCCCGACATACTGGCTAGGGCTGAAGCTATTTAATTGATTAGGAATGCTGTAAGAACTTTTGCCACCCTGCAGGCATCACCTCAGTAACCCTCATGACATCAGGCCGAAGCTCTCCCTACCTCCTTCTGCCTGCGCATCCACTCTCATCACATCCCCAGAGTTTCTCACGGATCCCGTGTGTGCTCAGCACAGATACCGAAAGGTCCTGGACTTGTAGTGCTTCAGTGCTCCCTTAACACCAGGATGGCTTATGCCCGACAGCACTAGTTTCTCTGACGTACAGCACTTCCCAGCCCATAGCAGAGGCGCACCAGGGACACTGGATAGGCTGAACTTGTGCATTTTTCTCTTGCCTGCTTTGTATTTGTCTCTTTAGAGCAGATTTTGGTCTCCGGCTCTATGCCTTCTAGCATGCAGGGAGGGAGAGATGCAGGTACTGGGGCATTCACTAT